TCGATCACACGATCCATGCCGCCTTCCGAGAACACCTTCCTATTAATGCTGACAATGTCATGTAACCATCCCAATAGCACAAATATTTGACACACTTGTTCGCCGAAAAGAACAATGCCTGTAATGATCCCTGAACCCGCCAACGATGATATTTCGAGAGGCGGTGAACAACACACTAAAACATGGGCCCAGACACGTACTTCTCCGGTAGGCAACAGCCGGTCACCCTCCGGCTGATGAGCCCCAAGGGAAAACCGCAAGCCTGCCTCAGTAGCCCGCATCACATTATTCACTTGTTGGTTCTTCGAGACCCTGCTACCATTCAAGTGATAATAAGTTAATGACCAAAAATAGAACACAGAATCAAGCTTTCCACATTATGACTCTGCTAGTTATAGTTATAGTTATAGCATGATTACATGCATTTTATTTCATGTGAAGCCCTCCTTGGATTGCTTGGTGAGTCGGAGTGTTGCGCCGGTGCCAAAATGAACAAAGTGACTCAAGCAGGAGGACGGTTGACGAAAAAGCCAGACCCTTGTCATCGGGGTATCCAAGAGCAAAATGCCGCCTGCAGTGGGCAATTATGACCAAACCATGATCCATGTGCAAAAGGATCAACTATATAATTGGTATCAATTCCAAAACAATCCAACCGGTCGGTCTTTCTTGCCAGTCTCGGATGATCTGTTGGCCCTGATCGAACGAACCTAACAAGGTAGGCCTTGCTATACCAAGGCACGTCATCGCGGTATTGCACCTGAGCCGAATATGTTGAACATTATTGAACCATATCACAATCACGAATTGGAATAAACCCAGGTAAACCACAGTACCCACAACAAGTGATATCATTGGTGGTTCAAAGGGGTGAACCAAATGTGTTTCCTGTGCAAAGACAAAATAGACCTCTTGGATGTGTCCCACTCCAGGAATCAACAACGGGCTCGGGTTCTACCACTGGTTCATTCTGTGATGGCTTCGTGGGCCAGTTGAGCAAGGCCTGTTGAGTGACAGCACATCATGTGACAGCAAGGCCAACTATGAGCTTGGTGGTCTCACCTTGGTACTTAGGCTGACAAATAAGGTTTATTTTTTATATGCATATATGCACCATATGAATTTGTGGTGGGGTGAGAAGGGTGGGAGATTGCACAACCCCCAATCTGGTGCCAATAGAACACAATGGTTTGGCAGTGTTGGTGAAGGTCTTGTGCCTGGCTTATCAAGGGAAGATTTGGGGAAAATCACGTTGCTGACCGGTCATGGGAAGGATCCTGGTCTATCTGAAATTATGTGATACGACTTTGTGAGTAGGATGCACCTCAAAACTGAAAAAAACCTGTTCTGACGCAAGAACGTCAAACACTGGTAATGCATCCCCGAGTGCTTGGCCACACCCTGTCCTAAAGCACTTGCAATTGCAATGAAACTCCACCCGCTACCTGGTTGATTAAACATGACAGAGCAGTCTCATATTGATCTGATGGCCAAAGGAACCACACGGCTGCCAGAGCAAAGATCGTAGTGCCAGAAATCCACTGTGCTTCTCAAGCAAGTCCCCCGATAGGGAGCCAACTTGGCCTTGGAGCTGGAATCTGAAGGTGTCTCAAAAAGGTTATGGTACGGTGGTGTTCTTTTCGCGACAATTTTTTTTCAATGTACTTCACGAGTCACGAGGGCTCTAGTGTATACAGTCGTTTTTGAACACCGAGGAAGGTTCGGTGGTTTGCCTTCATGGTTTACTGTCGGGTGCCATACCTAACCTAGCTCGGCGATGCCCTTTGTTACTAGTAGCTTCTTGTTACTAGTAGCGATGGCCTCCAACCTACTTGCGATGGCCTCCACCTAATACCTGAGAAGCTGCAAAACGAAAGCCAGCGTTTTTGTCCACGAGCACGTTGTTGGCCAAGACAGCATGCAGCATCGCACACGGCGTGCTTCCGTGCACCCCTGTCAACCGCTCGATAACCTTTACACACGCACAGCAATCCACAGCTTTGAAGTCTCCTTCGTGCTTTGAACTTAATATAGGTGTGTAAGAGGTATAGCAACATAGCATTTATACGGATCCAGGGTAGCTACAGTGCGATACCTGGCAACAGAATTGTAGCCACCCTGGGTCCGTATAAATGCTATGTTGCTATACCTCTTACACACCTGTACTAAGTTCAAAGCACGAAGGAGACTTCAAAGCTGTGGATTGCTGTGCGTGTGTAAGGGTTATCGAGCGGTTGACGGAAAGGGAACTTGAAGTACCATACCTGGCAACTGAATTGTAGCTACCCTGGGTATCTATACCTGGCAAGGCCCCAGCTACACCTTACCATTCAGATGATGCAAATGATGCAAATTGCATTTCTTGCATCACCACCCCCCAAAAAATCACAAAAACTCACCTCCAACACAACCTCAAAAACCTTACTTCTGCACACCCCTCTCCACCACCTAATTTCGAGTTTACGTAGTGCTTTCTCGGGCCACCCCCCCAGACCCCCTTACTTACTCACTTCGTTCGCCAAACACAACTCAGCTGGCGCCTTCTACGAAGGCTGGCTTTCGCAACCGTCCTTGCTACTAGCTACTCAAGTTTCTAGCACGACAGTTTGGCGGGAACCTCGTGCTCCACCGGCGTAGCACACAGTCTTTCAGCCAGGTACACATGTCGGTTGATAGATGCCCCGAAGAGGTTGTCCTGTCCAGGTGTTGTGTAAGTTAAACAACTATAATGCAACAAATGACAACAAACATACTACAGTACTATATTTATTTAAGTTCCTTTTTGATAGTCTTCTTGCAGCAACTCAGGACTTTCCTCCCTTCACACACCCAACAGCATGCATGTTGTCCGAAGGAAAAACATGTCCAGCTCAAACACCCTGCCAAGGTACTGCTAAGAAGGTTTTCTTGGCATCCTGGGTACTCGAGCAGCAAAAATGAAAGACTCCTTGCCAAGTACTTACACATAGAACGTGCGCTCTTTGGACGGAACTCCCTTCATCTGGAAACAATCTTTGAAGCTGCTGCAAATTCTTACGAGTAGAACAAAGTCGAGTGTCAGGCCCAACAGGCAACATCCCATTCACCAACAGCATATATATATATTATCATATATGGTTGTTTCACTCACGACATGCATAACTATATATATATATTTATTTATTTGTATTTATATATACCAAGGCTTGTTTAGGAAGTCTCAGTCTACTTCATTACTCCTTAGACACTCCTGGCAACATAAGTTGGCCAAATATGCGACTCCCTCCATCCACCTGCTCAGTCCAAGGATCTGGTGTATCTTCCTGCTCGCTGGAGTTTTTGGCGCCTCGCCATACAGCTGTGCTGTGCCATTGTGTCGGCGGGTTGCCACAGGAAGCGAGAGGCAGGAATCATGCTCTTGTACAATATCGTAATTATTTATCAGTGAATTGGACTTTCCGCATTCCCTGAAATCCCTTTCAATGCATTGCATATCCCTTACAAGAATTACCCAAAAGCAATGAAATCCAATGAAATGCTTCCTTCTTCCTTGAAGGTAATTCTTTCGATTCACTCAGCTAGTCGACCTGAGATCCACCAGTGCTCCCACCTGGAAGCCGACAGCGGAACTTCCTTTGCCCTTTGGCGAGGTTCACGGTCTTGACATCCTGCAAAGAGACTTCCAAAAAGAGCCCAAATTGAAATGAAGAACCAAAAGATTCCTGCTTGGCGCTCTGTCAAAAAGTCTGGTTTTGACATGGTTTCACAAGGTCTGTGTCCCTGTAAGGCGTGGCTTTGATTCAACTTACTCGGCCCAGGATCACCAATTAACACTCCTCGCCCACGAGCTCTGAAGAATCGAAATCCAGGTGCACCACCTGGAACGCATGATGGAGTCGGCTCTGCAAAGAAGAATGGAGTCGAACCTATATAATAGCAATTAGCGATGGCCTCCACCCTGGTCACCCTACTAGCGATTGCCTCCAACCTAATACCGATGCCTCCAACCTAATAGCGATGGCGATGGCCTCCAACCTAAGCGATGGGAGTCAGTTCTGCAAAGAAGAATAATTAGACTCATCTAGACTCTTAGCTTGCCTTACCTTCATTCGGGACAAGGATTCGGAGCTGAGCAACACTCAAGCACGTATGTAGCCTATGTACAACAATGGAAGGGCTTTGACATGACATTTCCATAGAAACAAGGTGGCCATTGGCTTCAGCTGGCTGGTCAAGCCCCTAGCATCTCAGTTGGTTTCAGACAAGTCACATAGTTGGAATGCAAAGAGGCCATGAAGTTGCCACCAACCTGGGAAGCAACAGCTCAGGTGCAGTTCTGGGGACCCCCACTTGCCAGTTTGCAGGCAATGCGATTGTAGAAGTGTGCTCTAAACGTTTGGCCGTTTCAATGCTCAATGTTCACTCCTGGCCTCTGCGGCTAGGAGCCATACTGGAGCCAAGCGCATGGCTCGTAGCCGAAGCACTCGGGTGATCTCAAGTATATTTCTTGGCTGCAACAATCTATTGATCTATTCTTCCCTTTTCATCACTTTTCCTCGTCCTAGCAGGTCGAAGCTGCTGCTAAAAATCGGTAAGGTAGCTTGGTCAAGTGCCAAACACGTAGAACGCTCAGATTCAGAACCAATGCATATCACTCGCAAGCTCGACCGATTGAATCCATTGTCTTATTTGTATCCAAAAACCCGGCTTCTGCAAGGAGCAAGTCGTGGAATGACAGGGCTGGGGCCATAGTCTCCGATGAACGTAAAGCCGCTAAAGCCAATGGCTCAGGAGAAAGTGCAGCTTCTCGCGTTTCCATGACACTAAATGCTGGATGCTTGACCTCCCAGCGGCTACGTGTTGTGAGTGCCGTTGCAAGGGGTCTCAATGTCTCAAGCACAAACAGTCAGTTCATTGACTGCGTTCCTACACGTTCTGGAAAGAGATGACAGCCCTCTGGCAAACGACTGGGATCCTGTGGGTGAATGGGGCACCATCTCACATTCTCAAGGTGCCCCAGCTGTCTGTCGTTTGGTGACGTCTTCCACCTGCCACGACTCGTGTCTTCAGGTGGCCAACCATGGGGTGCAACCATGGGGTAGCTTCTTGTTCCTAGTAGCGATGCCAGGAGCCCCTAGTAGCGTCCTTGCTCCTAGTAGTCATGCCAGGAGCCCCTAGTAGCTTATTGTTCCTAGTGGTCATCTACTTCCCTTGATGCAAACATGGAAACTGCTCGACTAAAGGGATGCTAAAACAGTGCACAAGCTCCTCTGGCGGAGGCCTTCCATGATTGTTGGCCTGTTCTGGATCGTGTGGTTTGCTTTGCGACAGAGATGCAAGACTTGTGTTTTGACCGAAACTGCAAAGAAACCAAACACTTCAGGTATGGAACCAAAGTCCACAGCGCTGGGGGCCTCCTTGTGCAAGGCATCCCTTGCGCTGGCCATCTCCAGAAAAAGCTGCGCACGGGCCTGTGACGGCCAAGCTGAGCTAGGCAGCTAGTAGCGTCTTTGTTACTACTAGTAAGGCACTTGTTACTACTAGCAAGGCACTTGTTACTAGAAGCGATGCACTTGTTCCTAATTGAAACAACCGCCAAGGAAGTTCTTGCACAGTGATCCACACCTGCCTCACCAGCTCCACTGCTGAAATGGTCTCCCATGTGGTGGCCAGGGATGTCCTGGCAGCTGCCGAATCAGAAGACCAGCATTCGATAGCCCAGTTGCCAGTTGAACAAGTTTTCCACTGTTTCTGGAATGCTTCTGCGTCTCACGACTAGCTAGATCCTCGGCCTCATGGTTGACATTGGTTGACAACTCTGAACATGTTGGATCTCTTCTGATCTTTTTCTATATTCCACACAGTACAGCTTGCGGAGGTCCAAAAATAGCTGAAACATGGCTCATGTCCTGAGTTCAACATTGTTCTATCATCTGCAAGATGTGGAAACCAACAGTTGGTTTCATCCCAAACTTCACATCATCTTTGTCTGGGACTACCCTCCTTCCACACCCACCACAGGGTGATGAGAAAATCACTGTCCTCCATGCTGGGATGTGGATCTAGGGTAATGGGAAGGTATTCTTCCTGAGTCCTGCAAACCACCTCAGGAGCTTCAGAAGTCCAACTCCAAGACTTTCTCATCTAAACTGCACGTACCAAGTCCATCCGCCTGGAGATCTTCCACTTTGAACTGTGCCATCTTCCCGTAGGCCGACATGGCCTGTGGATGAAATCAAGGAGAGCCACTTCACTTTCAAGTAGGGAGAGATAAACATTCTCACGGCTGGATGGAAAACACACAAACAAAGCACAGCCCAGGTCTTACCCTTCTTGCCCGTGTATGTGAGAAAATGGCAATATATTATGCAATATTATATATATATATATCATATCATTTTTTGTGAGTGAGCAGGACACATGATGAAATACATCAGGGTCATCAAAACTCCCAGTATGTCAGTATGCTTCGCAAACCGAGACACAGTGGAGGGCTGCTCCCATAGCATTTGCCTAAGTTGCAGGCACCGTGCTGACCTCATTCACTTGGGAGAGTTGGGAGCCAACAAAGAAAAATGAAGGCCTAAAACGACGAACTGAAAAAGATATCCCCACGCCCACGGCCACATGGACTTCCATTCTTAAGTTGCATCTTTTGTGCCGCGTCTGAGTCTGCGCAAGCCACAACTCGCTCTCAGGACTGGATGCTTTCCGAAATTAGGGCATGCGGCATGTGCCCAGGCATGTCTCGGCAATTGGTGTGACCAGGCACTGGCTAGAAGTGATCGGATCCCAATAGATCACCACCGGGCTTCCCGAAAGGTGTTTAATCTATTTTACCGGGAAAGACCACAAGTGATCAGTCAAGTGAAAGCTTAGCCAACCAAAACGAGCGCCCAAGGAGAAGTATCGTCGAGATTTGTCAAGATCCAAGAGGCACAATGGCTCCATTGATCACCAACGGGTGGAAAAGCACCTGGCATCTAAAGCTAAGAGTCGCCAACATCCTCAACCCACACAGAGATAAAACCTCACAAACTTGCAAACTGGGCCGAGCAAATGGCAAACAAAGCAAAGCACCGGCCACGATGCTACATGGAACCTACATGAACTTACTGTCAACCAACTGCGTAAATGTACATAAAGTCAGCCCTCAAATGGTCCTCAAAGAGGTACTACAATCGCAAGCCTGAGGTGGTTGTGAGCAATGTGCAGGGAACATCGATGACTACCATACCTGGAGCAGTTCCTAGAGCTGCACTATCACTAGGACAGGGAAGCCGGAGCGACGACCGTGTCTGCTGCATCTCCTACAGTGACCCCTTTGTATTCAACACAAAAGCTTGGAATTCACAAACCCCGGAGAAAGCCGCAAAACACGCACTTGTTTTGACAGTGTCGGATGGACCTCCTACCGGCTGTGCCAGGGAGCTTCCCTGGCACAGACTTCCCAACTTCAGTTAGGAGTTCCATCTGCCAAAGAATTTCTTTGACTTCGCCTTCCCTGTCCTCATGGCGGTCTTGGACTCTTTCTTTCTAGCCTTGTGCTCTTTGATCTCTTCAAAAAGCTCCTTGCTCCCCTTCAGAAGCTCATCCATCACAAACCACTGGAAATGTTCCTCCCCAATGGCTTCCCTCCGCTGGAGCTCAAACGAACTGAAATCCTCGTTCCTCAAAGCATCTGCCAGCTCGTTCCCGTCCCTGCGTACCCAGGTCAAGGTCGCAAAGGAGTCATATCTCCGGAGCGTCTCAGCAATCTCAATCACCAACAATGTAACAGGGTACTTCGTCGAAAGTCCTTTGCGCAAAATGAATGCATTGCCTCTATTATCTGTAAAAGCTTCTGCGCAAATCTCTGCTGAGTCTCCAGCACCCCTCAACCAGAGCTTGAGGGCGAGGAGGGTAGCAAGCAATTCAAGTGCAGCAATGACCCAAAATGGATTCTTCCCACGAGAAAACAACCAAGGGGCAAGCTCTTCAGTGACCCGAACTGCTTCCCGGCCTCATATTCTTCTAAGAGGGCCCTCTTCTCACGCGGCCCAGGCATCCTCACCTTATCACGGCACCTGATCCGGTGATTCACCATGACTCCGTGAGTGCCGTCATGGATCACCCGCTTCTTCCCGGTCACCTCATCCTCCACCAGAACTGCTAGCGCTGCAACTGCACGGTTCTCACCAAAAGTCTGTATGAAGTCTTCCTCCTCCATCTTGACCATCAACCCTTCTGCTACCTCCTGATCCAAGTGCTCAGTGAGGTACTTTTCGTGTTCAGCCGCTGACATGTAGTTCTCCTTCTGCCAGACGGAGCCACTCCAATCCTCACTCTCCAGGTTCCACCGAAGTTGTTCCTCGAAAATCTCTGGCGTCCCAGGAAGCTCATTCAAGACTCCCAGCGGTAGACCTGTCTTCGCCTGCTCTAGGAAGCCCCCATCTGGGTCTCCTGCCTTCTCCAAGACATCCTTCATGAGACCCAGGTAGAATGGTTGCCCCTCCTCCGGGCTTTCCTGCACCTCCACTCCAAGGTTTTCGGACAAAAGGGCCCTGACCTTCCCCAAGAACTCCTCATCCTTCACCAGGCTGAAGGCATCTCCGCCTTTTGCCATCCGAAAAGCCTCCTTCTCAAGCTCTGTCAAACTGCCCAGCTTCGTCACCGCCTCCTGTTGCAATTGCTGTCTCAGTTTTGCCCACGCCTCTTCTTGCAAGATCTTCCTCGTGCCAGGCGTCCACCTCCCTGGGGAGGCAAGCCCTCCTCCGTCATGATATGGTGCCTCCAAGCCCTTCCATCTGCAAGAGCGGGGGGGCCCTCTTCCTCCAGGAAAGATCGGATTCATGGGGTCAACCTCCAACTTCATCTCCTTCTCGTGCTGGACCTTCTGCCGTTTCTTGGCTGCCTCTTGGACCCCTTCATCTGGCCTCCTCTTCTTGTCCTCTATGCCACTGCAAGGTTCACCCCCCCCCATACACTCTTGTAAGAAGGAGGTGAGGATCGCTTCAGCGGTCCACTTGCAGAGGGCTGGCGGCCAGGCTGCTGAATGTGCTGTCTTAAACACGCCATTCTCCTTGCCAATCAAGTTCATACATTGCCGGGTGAAGTGGTGTAAAGATCCGCATCAAAAATCTTGTGGGTTTAGGGGAGCTTGTCCCAAACTCCGATTGAGCGAAGACCACTGTCTGCACCTCGTCCAATGTCAACAACTCCTCAAATTGCCAAAACTGCCACATCGACGCTGGCTGATGCCCTGTCAACCTGTTGTGCCTAGTTCTGCCCAAATCCTCTGGCTGCTCCATGAGTCCAACTGTACGTTTGCATGCAAATTGACGCTTCAATGCTTCAAATGAAAAATCTGCAAGAACCGTCCCAAATTCTGCCTTGTGAAATCTGTCTCCTTTGTTCCACGGGAAACCTCTCGGAAAAGTCGAGCTCCTCAAAGGGAAAGGCCCCAAATCATTAGCCCAAACAGCTCGCGAGAAAGTGGAACATGGCGGAGTAACAATGACTGCATAAAAGATGCCTTTGGCAATCAGTTGCAACCACTTCTTCTGAACTGTAGGAAGTGTAAAATCTGACTTGCGATCGGACTGGATGTCCAGTTCTGTGATTACCACCTGAACTCCTTGTCGTTGTGCTAGCCTCCGGAGGAACCCCGCAACGGAATTGCGTCTCTTCCTGCCAGAGAACACGTATAAGACTCTCAAAGTCTTTCACTTGCTCCCGACTGTGTCAGGAGGAACGGCCTCTTTGCGGTTCTTTGGATTGCACTCGTAAAGGGGATGACGATCACTGTAGCAAATCCCGCAGACATGTTTGTATTTGCATTTGCTGCTCTTGCATTTCTCCCCAGGTGTATTGTACCTGAAGCAGATCATCTCCCCCTCTGGTGTGTGGGTAGCGCAATGTGGATTGCTGCCCTTCCCTTTGCCCTTCTTGGCTTTTCCCTTCTCTTTGCCCTTGCTCCCTTTCTCTGTTGATGGCCACTTCGCTGGCGGTTGCTCCCTCCATGGCGGTGTTGGCCTCTTTGCATATAGAGCCAAGGGCGTTGTGAAGTTCCTCTCCTTGATGGTGGCATCCTTCCAGGCCGTCTTGAGCGCGACCGTCAGTGGCTTGCCCTCCGTGTTCGTGATCCTCACTGCCTGCTTCCTGATCGCACGCTCATATGCCAGGACAAGCTTCCATGGCGGCGATGCAAAAGTCTGACCTTCAGCGTCCTTTGCATTCAGGCCGTAGACGAAGTCGCCGAGGAGGTAGTCCTTATACTGCTCGACTGCTTCCTCCCAATTGCCTTGAAGCTCATGCCTGTTCGAATGCTTCAGCGAAATCATGACCATTGCGTTCTTCCATATTGTCAGCCGTCGACGAAGTTCTTCAGCGTTTGTCGGTTCCTCCACTTTCGTCGACCCTCGACGCATGGCCAATCGGCCCTTGGAGTCCCAAATAGGCACCACGGAATCGGGCTCAATCTCCTCTTTTGACACGACCTCGGTCAGCTCTTCGGCACGGTATTCACCGTTTTCAACCTCGGCCAACTTCTTCTCAACAAATTCCTTGGAGGGGTAGATCTTGTCATCTAAATGCCCGTAGCGCCTCTCCAAAGCCGAGCGCATAGCTGCCCATTCCCCGGCCACCACGGGCCTGGACCACTGGAGTGTATCGTACTCCGCGTCAACCTCGGCCGCTCTCTGGCTCCTCGTCTTGGCGTTGGTAAACGCACAGGTGATCGCTGCCACCTGAACTCTCTCCTCAAGCGTCCTGCTTGCATCCAACTCCCAATGATCCTTGAGGACCACTGCCAAATCATCACGGTCCTTGGCGAAGTTCGACAGCTTCTCCAGGGTCGTCACACCATGGTGGTAGAATAACTTTTGGTTCTCAAGGGTCACCTCATGCCTTGACAACAAGTATTTGATGTCTGTGCCAGCCGCTTCCAATGCCTTGTTCCCCTCATCGTCCGTGAGAGACGCCCGCGGCATGGTGAGCCTTTACGCCCACGGCCCCGCACCCTTCCTTTTGAACCAAGGAGCATGCAGCAAGCGATGCTGTTCTTGACACAGCGGTGCCAACCGTGCATGCTATGCACATGTCTGTCCACATGCGATGCGACAGTGAATCTTTCCTACCGTGCATGCTATGCACCGGTCAAAACACATGCGATGTGCTTGTGCCTCTCTCTGCTGAGGTGCGACCCCGCCTCTTCTTCCACTGGTGATGCTCCGGCACTTGCTGTGCTCCGCCCCGCAGCCTGAGCGGCTCGCCCAGGGCGGGATGTCTCTACCCCCTACCAGTGTGCCTCCCCAGGTGCGACCTGGGCCAACCCTGCATGCCCTTGCGCAACACCGGCCCTGAGTGCGACCCAGGGTGTTCCACACCTTTCTTACTTCCCGTCCGCGCCCCGGCAACCTTTTCTTCAGTCGCTGAGGCCCAGCTCATCCTGTGAATCACTTGTGGACTCACTGAGCTGTTCGTCCCCTCCACTCCAGCACAGCTTGCATCGGAGTGTGTACTCCTCGGGCTCGGGAGATCCTTATGCGTCTCGGACCTCAGGAATGCTCTCTTCCTTGCCATCCAGCAGCCCTTCTCCCCAAGCCGGTGCAACGTCCCCCGTCCAGCGCGCCTATATACAACCACATAGCCTCCTTCTCTCTCCTCCTCCAGCGCTTCAGACATTCTCCTTCTCTTTGCACCTTTGTTGGCCGTGCCACTGCCTTCCTTCTCGCTCTGGGATCCATCATAGATCGTAGTGTCCTCATCCGACAATTGTATCGGAGCTGGACGGATGCCCCTTGCACCAATCTTTTCCTTCCAGGCTTCAACTACACTATCTGCCTTGTCCTCAGGCACTGTCCATTTCTCATGCAGCCAGACCTTCAACTCCTGCAGAATGGAGCCCTCATCCAAGTCTCCATAGGCTGTCTCGCTGCGAAGGACCACCACGATCCTTTTCTGCATCTTCTTGACAATGGCGTTGTAGGTCCTGACATATACGTCAGAACCTTCTGGGCACCACCTCCCCAACAGGTCGCGATCCGACTTGTCCACGCCCAGCGCTGCAAGGCCGCTAGGTAGGGTTGCCCTCTCACTGTGCTCAGACCAGAACCTCTCCCACCCGGAAGGGATAAGCCGGCCATTGTAGCCCTCCAGCAATGCAAGCGTCTTGGAGCTACCTGCAACTGCTTCGGCATAGGTGACGTGCGACGCACCGTACGCTGTACCATAAAAACAGCCCTCCGGGAAAACGTATGTGCGATCCCTCGGCATCTGCAGCTTCACAAGGTCAAAGCCAACTGCCAGCCAGTCCTCATGCACAACGTACGCTTCTTTAGCAACGTATATTGGGAGCTCTCGCACGCGCTTTCCAGCCCCTGTTGTCTTTGATTGATGCATCATCCCAATCAGCTGACCGTCGTAGAAGCGAATCTCGGAGGTCTTCAGGTGTGCTGCATCGTCGAACCTCATCGAGGCCCACATCTTGATGAGCTTGAACCACGCGCAGACCCGCACATCGAAGGATACTGCACTGTCCACCACCAAGGTCTCCATCGGCGCGATGAAACACCCTAGCCAACGGGGCGCCCGTCGTACCGGTGGTGCTTTCATCTCAAGCTTCCGTGTCAGCTCCTTCATCACCAGTTGTGGGAACTGCTGATTCATCAGCATCTCATCTTCAGGGGTGCCTGCGGTCTTCTCGAACCATGCCACTGCTGTGCTCACCGCCAGTGGGATTGAAGCGCCCATGCCCTCTTCCTCTCTGGCGTACATATAGTCCACCAATGTCACACTGTTCGGGCGTTGTCCAGGCTTACCCAATGCGTCCGCCCATTCTCTGAAGCGCTCCCAGGAGGCCAGGTATCTTCTCACCGTCGAAAACCTGTACTTTCCAATGAGAGCCTCAAGGAGGCTCTCACGGGGTTCATAGCCTTCCGGATCTCTTCCAGGATGGGCGCCTTGTAACGCACTAGTTCATCCACCAGCTTGTCCATCACCTTGTCGTTGACTTCTTCCTCTGAAGCAACCCGTCCACTCCTCAACCGAACTGTCCTGCCCAAAGTCCCTCTCTTTGGAACAGCTGGTAGGAGCACTTGGGTACTAGGAGGCTCGAGGGTTTTCACCTTCTCCTTTTCGATGGCTACCCTGGCATCTAGCAAATTTTGGATCGACCTTGTTGACGAGGATCCAACAAGTCTTTCTTCCAGATCAGCCATCTGCACCGCTTCACGGACCTGACCCGTGATGAACTCCAAGTGCCAGGGCTTGTTTTCGAGGCCCAGGCGTTCCGCAAGCTGCCTCGCCAGAACATGCTCTGTTCCATGGCTTACCGCAAGCATGCCGCCCACTAGGCCTAGCTCGGACAGGAGTGAAAGGAGGCTGGCCGCCTCCTCCGGATCGGGGGCACAAGTGCCCCCATCCATCTCCTTTCCAAGCTGAAGATCACCTACCCTCGAGCCTCCAAGCAACAGGTGTTAAATACTGTCATGACTAGTCATGAATGCTACACATGTTGAGCTGATGTTGAATGCTCGCTTTGTTCAAACATTTTAATATGGAGATCAAAAGTAATCTTCACACACTCGTGTTAACCAGCCAATAAGGCAGCATTCAATCCCCTCAAGCAAGCAGAATATTCAAGTGCTGTGTGAATCAAGATCATACGATGCATTACAATGCGGAGTTGTGTCCAATCCTCCTGCACGGACGGAGTTGCCTGCGGCAGCTGCTGGTCCACTTGCTGATCTGTGGACCAAAAAAGCTGTTGGTCCAGCTGCTCAATAGCAGCCTGGAAACCAGGTGCTGGGCATGGCGGTTCGGACGTGGTCAAGTGGCCAGCAGTTTCTCCACCTTCCCTTAGAGTTGTCTTAGCAGTGAAACAAACTGAAATAGAACGTCCTGCGGCCTAAACTGATGCACTTATGTATTCGCGTCACAAGTGTCATACCAAGATTCTCCCAACAAGTTCCAGAACACCCTCAGATACAGGGTGCAACCTGCACTGCCTTCTGATATGTTTTAAACTTGGTGACAGATGGCCAAGTCTGAACTGGCCCAGCTCCAAATGCTCAACATGCTTAAACCATTCTATCAATTCCAAACACCTGTCGCGCTTTTGAGAAAAGTTTGGAGCGTCGGATCCCACCTGCCACATGTCATTCCATTCCAACCTGGCTGCAAAGTCGATTCTGGCAGTGAACGTGCTGCAAGATTTGCAGGGAAGCAACCCACTAACCACCAACATGATAGAACATGTGAACTGGCCAGAATTAGGGAAGGGCGATCGAGGCGATCTTGCAAATGAACCAAAATCGCATTCATAGGAATTCCGGATACAAATGGATACAGCCTCCTGATACAATATCAAACATGCGCAGAAGCAATTCTAAGCACCTTCTGGTCCGTGCTCACCTGAAGCGGACTTATATAAAAATCTGGCAACACGACTAAAGGACACCTGTTCAATCATTTGAGGTCAATTGTATACACCGGAGAACGCAGGAGAACAAAGTAGAGCAAAGCTCTCTCGTTACCGTGCTGATTGATAGAGTTGATTGTGCCAGAACCCAAACGACTCGGGTATTTTGTGAAACTTTCACAAACTGCTCTACAAGGAGTACAAGTTGCAAATTGATTCATTTGATTCCTTCAAAGGCATGAGGCACGACCTGTGTCTACTCTGTCTACTCCAAAAACCCTTGATTGTCATCTCTTTCAACTTCGGCTGACCACATCTCGGTATACAGTCAGCTCATCTCTGCTGTTCATGCTGACCTGCTTCCAAGGGGACCTTATTCCATGCAGATCTTCTCTCGATCTGTCGCAACTCAGTTTGGGGCCAACCATATCCAAAAATCAGGTCTACTCAACCGCATATTATATAGGTTGGAGGCCATCGCTCTTAGGTTGCAGTCCATTCAACCACATGCTCTGTGAACTCTGATTTTCTGCGGCTTATCGTCACCGGCTCGCTTTCAGAGGGCCTTCCATCCACTGCCAGGGCCAGGCTCATGATGTGAGGTACAACCTCGTGACGCAAGGCCCCACGGCAAATAGCTTTGCCTACCAACATAGTTCAAGTCCTGGCTTTTCCTTAGTCGAAAACAAATGAGGATTCTAAGAATCCATGCAACTGCAAGCCATTGAATGGCTCTTACTGCTTGCCGCAGGCCAAACTCAGAAGCCGTGAAAAGCTACAAAATAGTTCTTGTGGAAATCCCGACCTCAGCTGTCTTCCAACCCTGGAACTTGCTCTCCATCTGAGCCTCACCTTGGCTGAAGACGCAGGAGGGTGCAGCGCAAGTCCCTGCAACTGTTAGTCGGCAACGCCACTAGAAACCATACCACATCTACCACACAAGAGAAAGCACCAGGTATCCTTGTTGGATTATGGATCCCTGAGCTCCATGAAACGAAGGATCAAGGTCCAAAGAATCTCCGATCAAACGCATCCGGACTACATCCTCCAGTGCAAAGATCCAATATGAAATAAAACACTTACAGTAGATCAAATCAAATAAATCAAACAAAGCAATTGCCCAAGAACAGAATTCAGTGCTCGGCCACCTCTTCCTACCACTCATGTCAAGTACTAAACAACGTAGTGTGGTGTCAAGCTTGCAAGCAGGTCAAAGGAATTCTAGTCAGACATCTCACCCTCAAGGAGGGGCTCACCGGTTGGTTCTCCAACTGAGTTGCTCATCTTCTCAGAAAAGCAAAAAATGTTGTTGAACAGCTTGTTCGTCCTTGGTTCACTGGGCGGTGAATTATCTGGACTCTCATCTGCAGCTGTTGGCAACTCCTTGAACCAGATTCGGTGCTTCTGGGACCTCATATTCCCTCACCAAAATCTATACATTGGAGTTGAGAATAAATCTGGATTTCCCTACCACGGTGGAGATTTCAACTGACTGTGTTGTGCCAGGCTTCAAAGAGCAATATACAGTAGAGCAATCACACATACGCTTAGGTCAAAAACCTTCATGCCATTTCATGCCTACCTGGAAGGTTTTCAAAAGATTAAACCTGGTGGCGAGATCATGACAAACAGCGCTCATTCCGAATCCGTCCGTCAGCCAGTCCCCGACAAGGAGCAGCATCCATCGCATGAATGCACTTCTTCCACTTCTTCTTGTGATCGCCTCACTTTCCTGAGTGTTGGGCAGGGGCTCACACAGGAACCGGGCAAAATGACTGGGGCTTGCTCCACAGGAGTCAAAAGGAAAGCACATGAAAAGCATGTGTATGTAGCAAGCATAGGTACAGTAAATACACGGCACCTAAACTTATGTAACATCTTTGCATAACGCAGAAACCACCTTCTCGGGAGAGATGAAACAGCGTAGTCAAATGTGTTTGTGATGCATCAAAGCAAAGAATGTCGATGGGTTCAGGTGTGTCTCAAGACCACGAAAGCTGAGTTGACTTCGGCTGGAAATCGCTTGAGAACTCTTCGAAAGACTCGGTTCTGAGAATTTGCCATGTACAAAGCATGTGCACCATCAATGTAGCTTGAAGCCCAAGGCAGGTGCATTCAAATCCAGCAGCGGCAAGGGCCAAAGGCAGGCCATCGCACGACGGAACCTCATTGCAAGGGCAGTCGCCTGTATCACTTGTGAAACTTCAATAGCATGCTTTCTTAGTAAGCGGGAGCAGATCTGCCAAGCTCGGACGGGACAATTCTCTGAGGACCTGCTACCTAAGGCAAAGCAACACCAGTAGGCCGACCAAAGATGTATGCACTCATTGTCGTTTATATAGTCCAAACAAAATAGAAAAGAAACTTGTCGGAAACATCGTGGGATTCTGGAGGCTAAAGACCCTCTTCCATGAGCAAGCAACAAGCGACAGGTCTCTTCATTGTCAGGCAGGTCCTCCGGGCCGGACTCACATAGGCAGCTCCGTGAGGGTAATCACGGCCACGACTCGTGACTACAAAAGGGGGTCAAATGCATTGTTTCCAAGGCGTCAAGCAATGGAACAAATAAGTCAGGTAAACAAATCCACTGATTCAAGTGATTCAGGAATGTACACATTGAATTCTTATGAACTGTTAAATATCAAGGCACCATGCAGCTTTTCACCAAACACCACTGAGTTTGCTGGATGCCTGATAAGACCTGATAAATTCCAATACCGGCCGGTGCTTCAGAATAGGACCAACAAGGATCCTCAATGAGGCAAGGCCCAAAATGACAATAAATTTCCTTATATACATTATATTGGTTTAATGATTCCGCAAGTCTGAAGGACACTCTACAGCATTATGGATTTGTAAAGAAAAAACACGTCATATGAAAGCAAGTTGCATGGACCAGCACATATAGTGTTCTAAATTCTATGCCTTTCATCACACCAAGTAAATATCTTTTTCAATTTGGGTTGCTATCACTTGCCAGCTGCAAGCTCGTGATTTCAGGGTAAAGGCCACTAGACTAGACTCAGTTGAATAGCAACAAAAACATATAATCATATATATACATTTACTATATAATACAGAGTGCTCACATAGGAGTCGCTGAACAAAGCTAACACGCCCTTGCCAAACCTCCTCACGGCAACCAGCTGGGGACTCTTCCTGTGGCGAGGCATCTGTTCTCCCTTTGCCAGCCCATGCAGAATGGGGACGTGAGAAACAACGGACTGTACAGTCAATTTCTTCAAATTCGTGTTATAATGTATATAGATAAATTCGGAAACCATCTGCGGAGCATGTTCAGGAAACTAGGCAGTTACAGCATGCATTGTTTGCATGAACAAACAATTGATTCTGAGCTTGCGCATGAGCAAGCTGCATCACTGCGCCTGTGCAAAAGAGCGCAAACCAACCTTCCACGCTCTTGGCAAAGTTCCCGAACCCACCTTGCGCACCGAAAACATAGCCCTAGCTTAACAAAGCCAGTTAGTGCAATGCCCATTCAAAACTCCATTCAAAACTCCAAAAAAGAACACAAATCAACGCACATTCCAGATGTTCCGCGGTTTCGCACCATGCCAAATTCAAGCTGCGACAGCAGGAATCCTGGAACAAGGCCCTAACAAGGCATATGATAATAGGCTTTATTAAATCTTGTCAGTCGATATATCGGTTTAATGAATTAGTTGCACATCTTCTAGAGGTGAGAGGAACATTTCCACTCCGCTGACGGTCTGGAGGTTGCAATCTGAAACATCTGACTCCTGTCCTGTCGGCCGTTTGAATAACAGGCACCACGGGTGCATATATTGATTGTAGCCCAGCTATTCTCATGTTCGTGATGTCATCTTTACGCAAGTGCACAGCAACAAAGGGACACCAAGAACCACTCCAAGTCTCCATGTCCAAACCCTGCGGTCAAGCAGATAACCCATGGGCTCGAAAGTCTCGCCCAGTTTCACATCAAAAATGATCGGAAGACGGCCTATAGACAATGATGTTCGCTGGCATTGTCGTCTCTGTAGTCTCCACTTCGCCACTAAACCCTCTCAGGGCACCTCTGGATTCCCTAGGCCCTAGTACATTTAGACTTAGACATAAATCCTCTTCCCTACCAGCATACGGCCTGCTCCTGCCATTGTGTGCATCTGGAACGCCAACGCCGCAGCATAGGGCAATCGGCGCGCAAAGCCAGCGTCATCATGAGATGAGGCATGGACATAGTGGTCTCCTCGCCACAAAAAATGCTGCCGGCAGAGTTGCACTTCGATGAGCTGTGCTCCAACCAGCAAGCCAAAGTGATCATTACAGGTTTGCATCATTCTGCATAGGGGTCACTGGGCTCACCAAAACAGCACAGTGTACAAGTGCAACCCAATCAATATCACATCTCATCATGCATGCGCACTGGAGAAAATAAACCCATTGCTAGGGTGTGGTACATGTTGTGCATACATGCAACACAGCCTCTTCTTCTACTCTCACTCAGGTCCTTGGAGACCGACATGCGCCAATGTTCCCTGAGCGGGCGGGAGCATGGAATTGCAATTGGCCATCACACACTTTGGACTTCGGATCTTATGCTTCAGAGCAGTCGGACTATGTCTGACTCATCAAGCACACATTTTGGGAAGCGCTCTAGATTTGATACTTCAATCCAACACACATATTGCACTGTACAGCTGACACATGACAGCAAGCCAATCTATGGATCACTATACAAAGAGCTAGAACTTGAAACTGTCTCCAAACAACTTGGTCTGATAATGGCTGATACATGTAATGAACTGCGTGTTTGCTTGTTGTTGGCACCTTTCATCACAGTGCAAATAATGTCTACTCTATTGGCGTCCAGGGTCTGAACAAATGTGCTGGATGTGTTGGTGAATTCCTGTGGTCAGCAGACAAGGCTATGCCAAAGTCAGCCATTGTGGAACACCAGGGTCCTCCTTTTGGACTCATGACCTGGAACACAAGGTGCAAGTACATACACTGACCGTCACTGACCTTCCAAGAACAATACCTTCAGTCCTTGAGTCCTTGAGTTCCCCTGCTTGCTCTGGGTCTTGAACGAGAGCTGCACCTTACCATTCGAGGACTGATCAACAGTCCTCGAGTCTGCTTGCGTGGTTGCTTGTTGCCGTGACAGTGACACTGGCCATAAACGATCGCAACAACAACAACCATCAGTCCACCTGCACTTAGAGATAATTGATGATTTAATGCCTTCCAAATTCACTACGTTTCTCTCTTGCTATAACTGTTACTTCTGCTCCATACTGCTGCTGTACTTCCCACAAAAGCACGAAGGCTTGTTTGGCTGCTTAAGTCTCAGCTTGACGTCGACAAACCATCCGCCCGAACACTTTTTGGACAATCGCCGAACTTGCGCGAGACTCTGACATGTGGGTGAGTTAAGCAAACCCACAACCTCCAAGCAGGACCAGGCCTCGTTCGTGAGTTGAGGTAGTTTGACCACCAAACCTAGTTATGTTCTGTATATATATATACACATCTATCTATATACGCTGCAGTTTGTCTAGATCAGCTTAAATCACGTAGTGACAGGGCAGTATCCACCTGCAGATGCGTCTTGAGCTTCTTTAGAGCTTCATCCTACAGAAAAATGTTCATGTCTCATGGAAGCTCCAAGCTACAATTGCAATGTCATAGAATTGAAAGTCAATAAAATCAACACATACACCCCCTTTGCAGCTGCTGTGACAAAAAGGGCCCTCAACGAATCAGGTGTGAGGTCCTGGCGGCAAAAACCATGTCCCTTGACTATGAGGCAAAGGTGCGGAAAAGGAAAAGGATGGAAAAGATGTATGAGGAGGTTTTGAGAGAGACTTTGCCTAAAAAGTGCAATCGGTGAACAGCGCAAACAAATCATTACACACCGGATCACAACGGCGGGATTCAGGTAGAATCTGTCACTCAATCATGATCATTCAAGCCTGTTTCGATGCTCAAATATGCTCAAATTAAAACACACGGAAAAAAAACACCAGAAAAACTATATAACATATTGCAGTCTATTCTGCGAAGCTCCAAAATACTTGGGGCACAACCCAGTATGGGCGATCAAATGCCGTCCCTGGTCCCGGGGCCTGGATTCCAAAAAGCAAAATGCCTCTGAGCCTCTTGTCTGCGGTATTGGCAGCATTTATCTTTGCCTTTGCCCTTCAGTGAAATGCTTTCACCATACATTGCTAACGGGCACCTGCCTGCATACCTTTTTGCCGGTCCATGGTCCCCACTTCATGAAGTGACTTTACTGGCAAGGCTCAAACTCACACATCCAAACGTGATGACATATTTTCTCGCCTGAGAGGTATTGTTGATTGATCTCTTTGTCGTAGTCTTTGCCCTGTCCAGCAACTAACTGAGAGCTCGGGCATGATTTCGAGCAGGGAACACCCAAAAGAAAAGATTGCTCCGCTCCAAAAGCCTTCAACACGGCCTTTTCTACCAAGACCCCATTTGGGGCTTTCAGATTACAAGCTCTCTTGAGTAATTGAACTTCTCTTTTGCGATCAACTGTAGGACTTGCATAGCTCATCCTAGCTCTCAGATCCAGCAAACATACAACAACCTCTCTACTTCATGAAGCGAACGATAAATTAACGGTAGTGAGTGTTTAAGCCGCCGATGAATGTGACCTTGTCATTCAGCAGCCATCACCGGTTGATATGGCATGCACACTTGTTGGGTTTCGCCGGACAAGGTACCTTTGAAGTGAACCTGGGATTGGGAAAAACACATTCACGCTATACGGAATACGTACATATCATAGATAGATAGATAGATAGATAGATAGATAGATAGATAGAGAGCTTTACAATGTTACAAACTCTACTAGTCTATGTGCTCGTTAAAGTGGTGCTATCTCGCTTCATGATTTGTCGTCGAATCGAGTTCAACTGCTGCCTCCACAAGCTCGTGCTCCACCTTTGAGAGGGTCTTCCTTACTGAAGCCAATGGAGCTTCTGCTATTGTTTTTGTTTGGCCTGAAACCTGTTTCGTGATTGCGGTTCTTTTACTCCTATGTGTTGCTCGTTTTGGGCATGCAAAGTGATGCCAAATATTAATAATCTATAATCATCTTATGTTATGGTATTCAAATCCGAACAAGCCTCAAGCAGGATTCGTGAACGTGCATGACTTTTTATGTCCATGAATGTCCATGACAAGTAGTGTTGCCTTGGCGGTTTTCGACATCTCACAATCAAGAACAACCCCCTCTTTCTTTGGCAGCTGTGTCTAGATTTCCACCAAGAAGCACATACTCCTTGTACGTGATGCCGGAACCTCAGCTGGATGTCTCAATACTCAGGTTTCTTTATGAGCAAGGCTCTGCTGCACCAAAATGTTTCCTGTTTGTTGCTGTTGCGGATGTGCCCAATCCCGTGGGGTAGAAGTACCCAACCGCTTATGGCTCAAGTGAAATTGAGGAGATCTGATGTTGTGACCTGGCGTTTAAAACGTAATCCTCATCATATCAGCAATTGAAATGAACACCAAGTCTTTCATCCAAGCCGAAATGAGTGAGTCGCCAAGGTTTGGTTTTGAGGACCAAGTGGGTTGAAAAGCATTGAATATCATTGGATAATTAATGATATTATTAGTCTCAACCTGCCCCATAGTAATGGAATGTTCCAACTCTACTCTAATAGAATATCTCTCGCATGATCAGTCGGACAGGCGACCTTGAAAACATTGCGCCACCAAAATGTATCTACTGGCCCCTGGAGTGTGTGTGTGCGGGAAACAATGCAAACAGCTGCTCAGAAGCTGCAACCCGGGCACTCTTGAAACCACGACCTGCTCCACCTTCTGTGACCACAGTCGCAAGGAGCCTGGAATGGACATCTAACCCAATTGCAAAGGCCTCGAACCTAGTAGAGATGGCCTCCAACCTACTAGCGGAATATAGATGAGTATTGATTAGTATTGGCGCCGATTAGTCTTAGACATCTTCACCAACATGATTTAATCCACGGGCAACTCGCAATTTGTTAACTGTATACCCCGCTCGACCAGGGAACAGCACGAGTAATCTCTTGTTCTGCGGCTGGGTCTGAGATCCATTGACTGCATCCAGGTTGAGTGCATTTGCCAAATATACGCTTAAAGCGTTCAGATAAACTAACCGATGGTCTGAGTTACTGATGAACGCAACGCAGTCTTTTGCAAAAGTATGCAACAGTATATTGTGTGTCACACGAGTGAACAGCTCCAAATAATTCCGGCCAAGTAGGGTCAAACCCCATTAGATGAACTACAATCTAGTATCCTCCAACCTAACAGCAATGACCCCCAACCCAATAGCGATGGCCTCCAACCCAATAGCAATGGCCTCCAACCTAAGAGCGATGGCCTCCAACCTAGAAGCATTTGTTCCTGAAAATTCCCTATTATATATAAAGGTCATTCAAGTCCTTGCACCTAGCCTCAGATCTTTCACGCGCGCCGGTCCATCCCTCATCATGGCAAGCCTTCTCAGCAAAGATCGCCGCGTATTTCCTCCTGCTCTTGGCCAAACCTGTGCAATGCAATGAGCTGAATGGTGAAGCTTGTAATGTTCAGCCCACAGCATTCCACGAACCAGGAATCATACGATACTATCCGGCACCAGTAACTAGTAATAGGTAGGTTGGCATGTATGTCGCAGACCGTGCCTGCACTGGGAATCAACCGGAACAACTAACCACCATCAATCTGAAGCATCCTCGCCTTCGATATTGCAGCCAACAGCTTGTCGCGGGAAATATCTTCGTCCTTGTTTCAAGCAGTCGAAGTGTCTTTGGGGGTTTCCCCAACTTCATTTGGCATCAGCTTGCTATAGCAAATGCTCCAACAACATTACAACCGTCGGCAGTCCTGCTTGATGTCCAGCGACTCCTGTGTCAACCTCGTGTCACTATGACTGAGATCAGCTTATCAGTCGATCCCTTCAGCCGAAAACGATTAAATTCTCTCTATATATCTGAATCTGAAGCTTGAGAGTATGCACAGCCAGGATACACTTTCTATGTCCTATATATATATATATATACCTTCGGACACCCTGAACGTAAAGGCATCACACTTTTGTATACGTTTGCATCTTTGTACCTCCACCATGATTTGTTGATCGTCTGTGGCAGGTTCACATGAAGGGTCTGAAGGGTTGACAGCTGATCTTGGGCCCGGTGACTTCCAGAGTCTTCGCAGGAAGTGTCGCATCAGAAGCTCTCGAGCTAGAGGGCATGGCATGGAAACTCGATGACCTCACAAAGCAGATCAGTGAGAATCGAAAGAGGCAGGAACAACAGGAACAGGCTGTGGAGTGTAATGGTTCAGGCGGTTCAGGCCCAGGCGACTATATTGGTAGTTTAACCATGTTTAACTGCCTTGCCGTTGCTCTTTTGAGCTTTCCCTTTGATGACCGAACGCTTCTTCAGTTACATGCTGCAAAACCTCATAGGTGCACAAACAAAGATTTCAAGAACCTGTAACCTGTATAGATATCCATGTGAACTACTCCACTGCCCGGCAACAGCACAAGAAGGAAACGTCCAGACCTTATATAGATGTTTACATGTTTATTGCTCAAGAATCTGGATCAATCCGATTACATAATCCCCACAGGTTTGAGTCTTTCTTGGAATTCCATGAGCTCCATGCTGCAAGAGAGCAAAGCTGCCTGGTTCACTGCGCCATCTCTCAAAGACAGGATTTTGGTTCATGCCCATCAAGGCATTGTAAAGCACAGCCTTGGTCATAAGGCCATCAAGCACGTGCCCTGTGTCTCATCGGGTGGTGCATGCAAAAGGACCATTGTATTCATCCTTTCAAGAAAAGGATGTAAGGCTGCACCGAAGTGCTTAAAAGGGAGAACATCAAATGTCTACGAGAAAAAGGCCGCATGACTTAGAGCCGTCCCTGGAAACAAGTAAAACAAATATGAACACAAGGACGCTAAGGCCCCCTTTAAAGCCTTTGTTGATATCTTTTTTACTCTTCTATATTCTTTTGGATTGGAGTTGATTCCGGCAACCGTTTGAAATGAATGATATTGTTCATGAGCCAAGCTGTCCA